AGGGAATTTCATTTACTTTCATGGTATCAGAGCAAGATAGCTTCTAAACCATCTTCCTCTCTCATTTTCTTTCTTTTCACGGTATTCCTCAATGGTTGCAAATCTAGCACCCGTTGAATGGGCTTTTGGTGTTGCCACCCACATTCCCATCATACGGGATTTGGAAGATCTAAACTCATTGTCTTGCCTTTGATGTTCTAGGTCATATCAACGACACTGCTACTCCTGCCAACGCCGACAATGCTCCTTGGCACAAACGAGATAAACTCATTAAGCTCTGGCTCTATGGAACCCTAGTGGATAAGCTCTTCTGCAGTTCATCCAAACCAGGCGGTACAGCATGAGTCATTTGGTTACGTATTGAAAATCAATTCCGCAACAATAAGGAAGCAAGAGCAATACAAGTTGATAACGACCTTCGTACATTGGAGAGCGGTGATATGATGATTCAAGCTGACTGTCAAAAACTGAAGTCGTACTCTGACCTTCTCGCGAATCTCGACGCTCCGATTGCTGACTGTACATTAGTAATGTACATGCTCAATGGTCTCAATGATCGCTTCGACAACATACTCAATGTCATCAAACATCGAGATCCATTCCCTACTTTCGTAGTGGCTCAATCCATATTGGAGATGGAAGAAAAACTTGTTCTCAAATTCAACAAGACAATTGCAACTCACAAGGATCACTCATCTTCCGCTACAGTCCTCACAGCCACGGAGGAGACGGAGCAGAAACCAGCCCCCAGCAAACTTGTCAAACCAACAATTACAACAACAAACGCGGTGGTCGTCGCAGTGGAAACAAAAGACGAGGTAGATAAAACAACAACCGTCAATACTACAACAACTGGCCATCGGCTTAGTACTGGGAATTACAGTATCCTCAATGGCCTCAACACTATCCTTAGTAGGGACCATTCCCATAGCAGCAATCAAACAATCAAATCGCTCCTCGTCCCTCTCATCAAGCAAGCTTAGCCAACTACTGATTTTGCTCACGCTTTCAACACAATGACACTCAATGATCAGTCTACCGGTGATTGGTACATGGACTCTGGTGCGACAAGCCATCTAGCAGCAGATCCAGGTATCCTTCAGTCTGGTCTTAACAAAAATATCTGCCACTCAGTCGTTGTAGGCAACGGTTCTCATATTCTTGTTCTTGCCTCTGGTAACAGTATCATTCAAACTCCTACTAAACCTTTATCTTTGAATCGTATTCTCATTGCTCCTACCATTGTCAAGAATCTCATCTCAGTTCGAAAGTTTACTAGAGATAATTTACGTTCAGTTGAGTTTGACCCATTTGTTCATTCTCACGTGGTTCTTCTTCGCATTAACAGCTCTGGTGATCTCTACGCTCTTCCATCTACACACTCAAAGCCATCACCTACATCTTCCGCCTTGCTCTCATTCTCACTGGATCTGTGTGGCACAAACGTCTTGCGTATATCAATAACTCTTCTTTGCACTCTTTAGCTATTTCGAATTCTGTCTCTTGTAATAAAGACAACCTTGCAACTTCTTGTAAGGCTTGTCAACTGGGCAAACAAATAAAGTTATCTTTCAGGGATTCAAACTCTTATGCTTCCAAACCATTTGAATTAATTCATTCTGACATCTGGACTTCGCCAGTCTCCTCTAACACAAACGTCCCATACTATGTTCTTTTTCTTGATGATCATACACACTTCTTATGGGTGTATCCTCTCAGACGGAAGAGTGAGGTTTTCTCTAAGTTTAAACACTTTTCTAACTATGTAGAAAACCGGTTTCAGGCTCATATTCAGGATGTGCAATGTGATAATGGAGGCGAATATGACAACAGATTTTTCCAAGACTTCTGCGATGAAAAAGGCATCACAATGCGCTTCTCATGCCTTCATACATCCCAGCAAAATGGCAAGGCAGAGCGTCTAATTAGAACGATCAACAAAGCAATCCGGTCCTTACTCTTTCAAGCTCACATGGCGCCATCATATTGGGTGGAAGCATTACATGTGTGCACATACATCCTGAACATTCTTCCGTCTGCTGCTATAAAGAGCCAAATTCCTTTTACTCTTCTATTTCAGAAAGCCTCTACCTACGATCATAAAGGTATTTGCGTACCTTTGCTTTCCAAATTTGAATCATTCCAATCTCCATAAGCTTGCGCCAAGACACCATGTCTCTTTATTGGGTACCCTTCAAATCATAAGGGATATCGGTGCTTGGACCTTAAAACAAAGAAGATCATCATCTCAAGACATGTCTATTTTGATGAATCTATCTTTCTTGCAGTGTTACCAAAAGGCTCTCCTGCAACTTATCAATTCCTAGGAGCCGCCAATGAACCTTCTCTTATTTTCAAAACCATTTTAGAAGGTTCCTCCACTACTGGAGCCCCTGGTGTAGCAGCTTCTCAACCAAACACTGGTCCGATTTCAGCTTTAGCTTCCTCGGCTTCCTCACAAAGTGATTCAAATGTGATTAGGCACGATGAGCCAATTCATCACATGATGCAAACTCACAGTCAAACTGGTGTCCTGAAGCCTAAGAAACTGTTTTCTCTTCATTCCTCTGTTTCACCCTTGTCCACTAGCCATCTAAATGCTTTAAAGGATCCGAACTGGACACCTGCAATGACTGTAGAAATGGATGCTTTTGATAAGGCTAAAACTTGGGATCTTGTTCCAAGGCCTACTACCACTAATATTATTCGTTGTTTGTGGCTTTATAAGCATAAACTTGATGAAAATGAAAAGCCTAAATGCCACAGAGCTCGTCTAAATCTCAGGAGGAAGGAATAGATTACACAGACACGTTTGCACCGGTGGGGAAACCAGCCACAATGCGTGATGTTCTTGATGTAAGTCTCGCAAGAGATAGGCCCATTCATCAGCTTGACGTCAAAAATGCATTTTTTCATGGCGTGCTAGAAGAAACATTTTATATGCATCAACCGCTGGGATTTGTCAATCCACAGTTCCTGAATCATGTTTGCAAACTCCGCAAGGCTTTATATGGCTTGAAACAGGCTCCACAAGCTTGGAATTCCCGTTTTGCTAACTATGTCAAAACTATTGGTTTCAGATGCAGCAACTTAGACACGTCTCTGTTCTTATACAATCGAGGTTCACACACGGCTTATCTCCTCTTATACGTCGATGATATCATCTTGACGGCCTCAGATAGCACATTCCTCCAAACGATCATCAAGGATCTCCAAACTGAATTTCCCATGTCTGATTCCGGCAAGTTACATCATTTCTTGGGCGTCAAGGCTCAATTCAAAAACGGCGGCATCTTTCTCAGTCAAGCGAACCCTGCTCGACACCCGTTGAGTTGCAATCGAAGCTATCTCTTGAAGAATGAGAACTTATTTCAGACACTCGTCGTTCCACTTCCGGATACTGTGTGTTCCTAGGTTCGAATCTCATCTCTTAGTCAGCAAAACGGCAGCAAACAGTGTCAAGATCAAGTGCAGAAGCAGAGTATAAAGGTGTGGCTAATACAGTGGCTGAACTCTGCTGGATACACAATCTATTACTCGATCTTGGTTGTCCAATAACTAGGGCAGCTCTGGTTTATTGCGACAACATAAACTTCGTGTATCTTTCTCAAAATCCGGTGAAACATCAACGTATCAAACATATAGAGATTGATATACATTTTGTTCGAAAAAAGATAGCGATGGGACAGTTTCGTGTGCTTCATGTGCCTTCTTCACATTAGTATGCAGACATTTTTACAAAGAGCCTTCCTATCTCTCTCTTCAACGAATTCAGAAGCAGTCTCATTGTCTTCAACCCCGACAATGTGACTGGGGGAGGGTGATAGAATGTAGATATTCTGTTAGTATCAAATCTGTATAAGTTAGATTTTGTACCAGTATATTCTCCTATAATTCTGTAACAGACTTGACTATAAAAGTCCTATAAATAAGATCGTATCAGTCAAGGGAATTTCATCAACTTTCAGACCCAAATTTTTTTGTATACTTAGGTTCTTACCTTTGCTATCCAAATTGACCAGAAAAAACTGAACTAAAATCAACTGAAATTTTATAATCAACGGAACAGTTCGTGTATCTTTATATCTGAAAACCCTAAGCTAACTTGAATGGAATCCCAGTGACCATGATTGCTGTCAATTACGTTTGTCGAGTTTACCCTCATTAGTTCTTCTTAAAAGTGCTCTATTCCCAGAACACATTTTGTTATATGTTTGTTTGAATCGCGTCTTTCGTTGATTTTCTTTACATATTACTCCTGAGTAACCTTGTTTGCTTACAACTCTTCTCTCTTGCACGACAGTGACCTCTGCAGCACATCCATTGCCAATTTTCACAGAAGCTGTCTGAACCCAGAATGCTCATCCGATATATGCCTTTCTTGCTGCAAGGAACTTAGAGAGAGTTCACACGATCAGAAGGGAGATGGGGATAACTTCTCTGACTGGAAGCTTAATTCTGACGGTAGCATTCCATGCCCTCCAAAATCGCGTGGTGGCTGTGGTACATCAACACTGGAGTTGAGACGTTTGTGCGAATGTGATTGGGTTGAAAAACTGATAACCGATGCAGAGGAAATTACTCTGCAGTTTCAGCCACAGGATGTGGATATTTCTCATGAATGTTCCTCATGCACTGCAAACTCTGATTCCATCATCAGAAGGCAGGCGGCGTTTAGGAATAGCGCTCATGATAACTTCTTATACTCACCAAATGCTGTTGATCTGTCTGAAGACGATATTGCTCATTTTCAATCGCATTGGATGAGGGCAGAACCTGTTATAGTCAGAAATGTCCTCGAGAAGACATCTGGACTAAGTTGGGAACCAATGGTTATGTGGAGGGCTTGTAGAGAAATGGATCCAAAGGTTAAATGCACAGAAGAGGCGAAAAGCGTGAAAGCGTTGGATTGCTTGGACTGGTGTGAGGTTAGTATACCCCATTCTCTGTCTTTTATAATATTCGAGAAGTATACTCATTCTTAATCCTTTCCCTTGTAGGTTGAAATCAATATTCATCAGTTTTTTGACGGTTACTTGAAAGGCCGCATGCATCCCAATGGTTGGCCAGAATTGTTAAAATTGAAGGATTGGCCTCCATCAACTTTATTCGAAAAACGTCTTCCAAGGCATAATGCTGAATTTATTGCTGCGTTGCCCTTCTTTGATTACACTGACCCAAAGTATGGTATCCTGAATCTCGCAACAAGACTTCCAGATGAATCCTTGAAGCCAGATCTTGGTCCCAAGACATACATTGCTTACGGTTTCCATGAAGAACTTGATAGAGGAGATTCTGTGACAAAGCTACATTGTGATGTTTCTGACGCGGTACGTCCACCAATTCTTTCTCAGCTCTTCCATGAGCTCATTGGTTTTTATGTCTATGACACCCACATCTAAAGTGTGCCTCATAGACATCTAACTGGAACTAAGCTACCCATTCTTTCCCTTCTACTTTGGTGAGTTAGGTCAATGTGCTGACACACACATCTAAAGTGGATATAACTCCCCGGCAATACAAACGTATGAAAAAAGCACAGAAATACTATGAAGAAGACGAGTTGTTGCGTAAACAATACGCTGGTCAACAGACAGAAGCCAGTGAATGTGAAAACAAGTCACTGGAAGAAGTAGAGAATGAGGAAGCTTTAAAGAAATGCGATGGTCTTAAAGCAGCTAAAGAAGAGCCATCAAATAGCAGTTCGAGACCGTCCAGCCCACAAGAAGTTGATAAAATATTTGCTTCAAAAGGTATTTGCAAGAAGCTCGCTCCAGTGCTTAGGCATTCTTTTAAATGCATTGCTGAATGCTTAAATTTCAGGTGAATGTACCAAAACTGAAAGAGCTGATCCTATGGAAGGGTCCTGCAGTTCGTATTCTTGCACTACTGCTATGGAGACTGTTCCTGATGCGGATGCGGGTTTAGTTTCTCAGAAGAATGTAACGCTGATAAACGAACCAATTGCTGGTGAGAATTATAAAGATGTCTGTTTGAAGACAGAGAGATTATCTCCAAAGAACCAAAATGAAGATGATCCCACAGTGGAGAACGGACTAATGATGCCAACAGTTCCTTCAACAGCCCCGTGGGACACAGATGGCTGTCTCCCACAGCCTGTGGAACCCGTTAAAGAGGAGAAACTGGATTCTCCAAAGGAGACTGGTGATGAACTAATGACGTCAACACCTTCAACTCCCCCGTTGGATAAAGATGATAGACAACCTGTTGTGGGTACAAGTGCGGAGTCCTTAGAAGAGCAGAAACCTGTTGCTCCAAAAGAAGCTAATGGCAATGCCGAAGAAAGCTCTAAGACGGATGTGCATGGTGGTGCTGTGTGGGACATCTTTCGGAGAGAGGATGTTCCAAAACTTAATGAGTATTTGAAAAGACACAAGCATGAGTTTCGTCATTTCTATAACAAACCTGTGGAATCTGTACGTATCCTCACAACATTACAACTTGTAAATGGTTAATGTTTGAGAGATCTGGAATTTATGCTTCTGTTTAATTTTCAGGTTTCTCACCCAATTCACGATCAGAGTATGTTCTTAAATGAAAGCCACAAGAAACAGCTGAAGGAGGAATTTGGTAAGATTCTGGTTTAGATTGAAAACATGTGCATCTTAAAATCTGATTTTATCTTCTACGATTTTGCTTAACCGTAACTATATGTTATTGTTCATATGCACAGATATAGAGCCATGGACGTTTGTGCAACACCTCGGTGAAGCTGTTTTCATCCCTGCGGGTTGTCCTCACCAAGTGAGGAATATACAGGTAAGTATCCAGTTAAAAACTTCTTCTTTCCACCAAACAGAAAGCAAAAGAAAAAAATCAACATATAGTCATTTGAAAATGTTACTGTTTACAGTCATGCATAAAGGTAGCACTTGATTTTGTCGCTCCTGAAAGCTTAAAGGAATGCCTTAGGCTAACAGAGGAGTTCCGGAAACTACCAAAAGACCACAGATCCAACGAAGATAAACTAGAGGTACTTTGACTATTTTCATTATATATTGGTTACTAATCTTCAGGATTATGTAAAACTCTCTGTGTACTTACTTATCTTCTCGCTGCACTGGATGTAGCTTAAGAAAATAGTGCTGCATGCTGCCAGCTCCGCCATAAGCGAGGCACAAGATCTATTAATGCAAAAGTCCATGACAGAATAAAGCTAACAAAAGACTCACTGGTGTGTTCTTCGAATGAGACATCAAACTCGACATTGTACGACTTGGTTTGTCCACAGAGAACAAACTCCCATGTAACACTATTGTATCAGTAAACTATTCTGTCGCATACATTATTGTATCAACAAATTATTCCTTGACACTTGTTTATGTAACATCAAAATTAAGATCCTTCCCTCTTGTCTTAAAGCAGTTTTTTTTTTTTTTTTTTTTTTCAAGTTGATTGCATAAATTAAAA